CAGCATCAGCAGCATCATAAGCAGCAGCATCAGCAGCATGAGCAGCAGCATCAGCAGCAGCAGCATCAGCATCAGCAGCATCAGCAGCATCATCATCAGCAGCATCATCATCAGCAGCATCAGCAACAGCAGCATCAGCATCATCAGCAGCATCATCATCAGCAGCATCAGCATCATCAGCAGCATCAGCATCAGCAGCAGCAGCATCAGCATCATCAGCAGCAGCATCATCAGCAGCATCAGCAGCAGCATCAGCAGCAGTATCAGGATCATCAGCAGCAGCATCATCAGCAGCATCAGCAGCATCATCAGCATCATCATCATCATCAGCAGCATCAGCAGCATCATCATCATCAGAAGCATCAGCAGCATCATCATCATCAGCAGCAGCATCATCAGCAGCATCATCATCAGCAGCATCAGCATCATCATCAGCAGTATCATCATCATCATCATCAGCAGCAGCAGCATCAGCAGTATCATCATCAGCAGCATCAGCATCATCAGCAGCATCAGCATCATCATCATCAGTAGCATCAGCATCATCATCAGCAGCAGCATCAGCATCATCATAAGCAGCAGCAGCAGCATCATCATCATCAGCAGCAGCAGCAGCATCAGCAGCATCAGCATCAGCAGCATCATCATCAGCAGCAGCATCAGCATCAGCAGCAGCAGCATCAGCAGCATCAGCAGCATCAGCATCATCATCAGCAGCAGCATCAGCATCAGCAGCATCAGCAGCATCAGCAGCATCATCATCATCAGCAGCATCATCATCATCAGCATCATCAGCAGCATCATCATCATCAGCATCATCATCATCATCAGCAGTATCATCATCATCATCAGCAGGATCATCATCAGCAGTATCATCATCAGCAGCATCAGCAGCATCAGCAGCATCAGCAGCATCAGCAGCATCATCATCATCAGCAGCATCATCAGCAGCAGCTTCATCAGCAGGCTCGTCCACAGCGCGATGGTTGCCATGGTTACTATGGTTGCCATGGTTGCCATGGTTGCGGTGGATGCGGTGGTAGTGGTGGTTGTGATGGTTGTGATGGTTGTCATGGTTGTGATGGTTGTGATGGTTGCGGTGGTAGTGGTGGTTGTGATGATTGTGATGGTTGTGTTGGTTGTGATGGTTGTGATGGTTGTGATGGTTGTCATGGTTGTGATGGTTGTGATGGTTGTCATGGTTGTGATGGTTGTGATGGTTGTGATGGTTGTCATGGTTGTGATGGTTGTGATGGTTGCGATGGTTGTGATGGTTGTGATGGTTGTGATGGTTGTCATGGTTGTCATGGTTGTGATGGTTGTGATGGTTGTGATGGTTGCGGTGGTAGTGGTGGTTGTGATGGTTGTGATGGTTGTGATGGTTGTCATGGTTGTCATGGTTGTCATGGTTGTGATGGTTGTGATGGTTGTCATGGTTGTCATGGTTACTATGGTTGTGATGGTTGTGGTGGTTGTGATGGTTGTGGTGGTTGTGATGGTTGTGATGGTTGTGATGGTTGTGGTGGTTGTGATGGTTGTCATGGTTGTCATGGTTGTCATGGTTGTGATGGTTGTCATGGTTGTGGTGGTTGTGATGGTTGTCATGGTTGCGATGATTGTGATGGTTGTGATGGTTGTGGTGGTTGTGATGGTTGTCATGGTTGTCATGGTTGTGATGGTTGTCATGGTTGTCATGGTTGTCATGGTTACTATGGTTGTGATGGTTGTGATGGTTGTGATGGTTGTCATGGTTGTGATGGTTTTGATGGTTGTGATGGTTGCGATGGTTGTCATGGTTGTGATGGTCGTGATGGTTGTCATGGTTGTAATGGTTGTGATGGTTGTCATGGTTGTGATGGTTGTAATGTTTACTATGGTTACTATGGTTGTCATGGTTGTGATGGTTGTGATGGTTGTGATGGTTGTTGTGGTTGTGATGGTTGTGGTGGTTGCGATGGTTGTCATGGTTGTGATGGTTGTGATGGTTGTCATGGTTGTGATGGTTGTGATGGTTGTCATGGTTGTGATGGTTGTAATGGTTACTATGGTTACTATGGTTGTCATGGTTGTGATGGTTGTGATGGTTGTGATGGTTGTTGTGGTTGTGATGGTTGCGGTGGTTGCGATGGTTGCCATGGTTGTGGTGGTTGTCATGGTTGTGATGGTTGTGATGGTTGTCATGGTTGTGATGGTTGCGATGGTTGTGATGGTTGCGATGGTTGCGATGGTTGTGATGGTTGTAATGGTTGTCATTGTTGTCATGGTTGTGATGGTTGTGATGGTTGTCATGGTTGTGATGGTTGTGATGGTTGTGATGGTTACTATGGTTGTGATGGTTGTGATGGTTGTCATGGTTGTGATGGTTGTGATGGTTGTCGTGGTTGTGATGGTTGTGATGGTTGCGATGGTTGTAATGGTTACTATGGTTACTATGGTTGTCATGGTTGTGATGGTTGTGGTGGTTGTGATTGTTGTGATGGTTGTCATGGTTGTGATGGTTGCGATGGTTGTGATGGTTGCGATGGTTGTGATGGTTGTGATGGTTGCGATGGTTGCGATGGTTGTCATGGTTGTGATGGTTGCGATGGTTGTGATGGTTGCGATGGTTGCGATGGTTGTGATGGTTGTGGTGGTTGTAATGGTTGTCATTGTTGTCATGGTTGTGATGGTTGTGATGGTTGTCATGGTTGTGATGGTTGTGATGGTTACGATGGTTGTGATGGTTGTGATGGTTGTGATGGTTGTGATGGTTGCGATGGTTGTGATGGTTGCGATGGTTGTGATGGTTGTGGTGGTTGCGATGGTTGTGATGGTTGTGATGGTTGTCGTGCTTGTGATGGTTGTGATGGTTGTGATGGTTGTCGTGGTTGTGATGGTTGTGATGGTTGTCATGGTTGTGATGGTTGTGATGGTTGTCATGGTTGTCGTGGTTGTGATGGTTGTCATGGTTGTGATGGTTGTGATGGTTGTGATGGTTGTCGTGGTTGTGATGGTTGTGATGGTTGTCATGGTTGTGATGGTTGTCATGGTTGTGATGGTTGTGATGGTTGTGATGGTTGCGATGGTTGTGATGGTTGTCATGGTTGTCATGGTTGTGATGGTTGTGATGGTTGTCGCGATAAGAACTTACACCAGTGAACTCTCTAACCCTGCTAGAACAGCGGTCCGGATTCCTCCACGGACTTTCAAGCAAGGGGTTCAAATGGTGCCCGACGTTTCGTTCCACGAGCCGGGAGCTTCCCTGCTCCCGGCTCGTGGCGCGGAAACGTCGGACCTCGTTGGAGCCCTCGGCGTTTGCGCGTCCATACACACTTTGCTAAAGCGAGAAGGCACGAGACGACCAGTAACATGCAGCACTCTTCAAGCCGTGGTTGATGGATAGGCGCGCACGCGTTAGCCATTGGAGCGATGTTATTAGGAGAGATTGGGGATGATGGTGGTGGTGATGGTGGTGGTGGGGGTGGTGGTGGTGGTGGTGGGGGTGATGGTGATGGTGGTGGTGATGGTGGTGGTGGGGGTGGTGGTGGTGGTGGTGGTGATGGTGGTGGTGGGGGTGGGGGTGATGGTGATGGTGGTGGTGATGGTGGTGGTGGGGGTGGTGGTGGTGGTGGTGATGGTGGTAGTGGGGGTGATGGTGGTGGTGATGGTGGGGGTGGTGGTGGTGGTGGTGGTGATGGTGGTGGTGGGGGTGGTGGTGATGGTGATGATGGTGGTGATGATGGTGGTGGGGGTGGTGGTGATGGTAGTGATGGTGGTGATCGGGATGATGATTGTGATAGTGATGATGGTGGTGATAGTGATGATGATGGTGGTGATGATGGTGGTGATGGTGGTGGTGATGATGGTGGTGGGGGTGGTGATGGTGGTGATGATGGTGGTGATGATGGTGGTGGGGGTGGTGGTGATGGTGGTGATCGGGATGATGATTGTGATAGTGATGATGGTGGTGATAGTGATGATGATGGTGATGATGGTGGTAATGGGGATGATGATAGTGATGATGGTGGTGGTGGTTGGTGATGGTGGTGATGGTCATGGTAATGATGGTGGTGATGGGGATGATAATGGTGGTGATAGTGATGATGGTGGTGGTGATGGCAGTGGTCATGGTGGTGATGGTCATAGTGATGATGGTGATGATGATGATGGTAGTGGTCATGATGGTGATGATGATGGTGATGATGGTGGTGGTGATGATGGTGATGATGATGGTGATGATGGTGGTGGTGATGATGGTGGTGATGGTGATGATGATGATAGTGATGATGGTGGTGGTGATGGTAGTGGTCATGGTGGTGATGGTCATGGTGATGATAGTGATGATGATGGTGGTGGTGATGATGGTGGTGATGATGGTAGGGATGGGAGAGGCGATTGCAATGTGGAGTGGTACGACAGAAGTGAGGTGACCTGCTGTGTGGTGAGTGGGCGAGTGAGTGGATGAATGAGTGAGTAAGTGGGTGAGTAAGTGAGTGGGTGAACGGATGAGTAACTGAGTGAGTGGGTGAGTGAGTGAGTGGGTGGGTGAGTGAGTGAGTGGGTGGATGAGTGAGTGAGTGGGTGGGTAGGTGAGTGGGTGGGTGAGTGAGTGGGTGGGTGAGTGGGTGAGTGAGTGGGTGAGTGAGTGAGTGGGTGAGTGAGTGAGTGGGTGAGTGAGTGGGTGAGTGAGTAGGTGAGTGGGTGAGTTAGTGAGTGGGTGAGTGGGTGAGTGAGTGGGTGAGTGAGTAGGTGAGTGGGTGAGTGAGTGGTTGTGACTTGCAGTGTGGTGGTGGTGGTGGAGGCGACATGGCGGTTGAGACCGAGTCCTCGACACAGCTAGAGAACTACACGAGTGAGTTTCACGTACAACACATCACAGCAGCGATGCAAGAGTGAAAAAGAGGCGAGCGAGTGGCCGGAGTGAATGAGTGCTGGATCATCAGCGCGGTTCGAAACGTCGGACATTAAACAGAGGCGAGAAACAATCAGAAACAACACCACCCCCAAAGACGCGTGCGAACCTTAAGTCGGAGCCGGGATTCGAACCTAATGCGGCTCGCTGTGCGCGGCAGAGCTGCGGTAGTGGCGATGTCGTGAAAACGCGGCGCTTATATAGAGCGGGAGAGAGCGGGAGAGGGTGCAGGAGAGAGCGGGAGAGAGCGGGAGACAGTGAGAGAGGGTGCAGGAGAGGGTGAGAGAGAGCGAGAGAGAGCGGGAGAGGGCGAGAGAGAGAGCGAGAGAGGGTGCAGGAGAAGGTGAGAGAGAGAGCGATAGTGAATAAGAGAGAGCGATAGTGAATGAGAGAGAGAGAGAGCGATAGTGAATGAGAGAGAGCGATAGTGAATGAGAGAGCGATAGTGAATGAGAGAGAGTGATAGTGAATGAGAGAGAGCGATAGTGAATGAGAGAGAGAGCGATAGTGAATGAGAGAGAGCGATAGTGAATGAGAGAGAGAGCGAGGGAGAGTGAATGAGAGAGAGAGCGAAAGAGAGCGAAATGGAGTAGGAAGAGAGGGGGGTAGAGAGAGAGGAGGGGCAGAGAAGGGGGTAGAGAGGGGGTAGAGAGAGAGGGGGGTAGAGAGGGAGGGGGTAGAGAGGGGGGTAGAGAGAGAGGGGTAGAGAGAGAGGGGGGGTAGAGAGAGAGGAGGGGCAGAGAGGGGGCAGAGAGAGAGAGAGAGGAGGTAGAGAGAGGGGTAGAGAGAGAGGGGGGGGGGGTAGAGAGAGAGGGGGTAGAGAGAGAGGGGGGTAGAGAGGGGGTAGAGAGGGGGTAGAGAGGGGGGGTAGAGAGGGGGGGGGGTAGAGAGAGGGTAGAGAGAGGGGGGGTAGAGAGAGGGGGTAGAGAGAGAGGGGGGTAGAGAGGGGGTAGAGAGAGAGGGGGGTAGAGAGGGGGGTAGAGAGGGGAGGGGGTAGAGAGAGGGTAGAGAGAGGGGGGTAGAGAGGGGGGGTAGAGAGAGAGGGGGTAGAGAGAGAGAGGGGGTAGAGAGAGGGGGTAGAGAGAGGGGGGTAGAGAGAGAGGGGGTAGAGAGAGAGGGGGTAGAGAGAGAGGGGGTGGAGAGAGAGGGGTAGCGAGAGAGAGGGGGTAGAGAGAGAGGGGGTAGAGAGAGAGGGGGTAGCGAGAGAGAGGGGGTAGCGAGAGAGAGGGGGTAGAGAGAGAGGGGGTAGAGAGAGAGGGGGTAGAGAGAGAGGGGGTAGCGAGAGAGAGGGGGTAGAGAGAGAGGGGGTAGAGAGAGAGGGGGTAGCGAGAGAGAGGGGGTAGCGAGAGAGAGGGGGTAGAGAGAGAGAGGGGGTAGAGAGAGAGGGGGTAGAGAGAGAGGGGGTAGAGAGAGAGGGGTAGAGAGCGAGAGGGGTAGGCTCTCTCCCTGCGACTGAAAGGGGTGATTGCACAAGTCGTACACGGGGACCAGTCTTACACCATCCCCGGACGAACCATCCACGACGGCATCTTCCTGGTCAGGGACCTCATCGCGGTGTCCCAGAGGTTGGGCATCCCAATCGCGTTTCTGGCTCTTGACCAGGAAAAGGCTTTTGACAGAGTGGACCACAAGTACCTGCTGGGAACCCTCAAGACCTTGGGTTTTGGGGATGCCTTTGTCCGAACGATCCGCCTACTCTACACTAAGGCGGAGTGCATGATCAAGATCAACGGCGCCCTCACTGCCCCGGTCAAATTCGAGCGAGGAGTGAGACAGGGATGCCCATTGTCGGGCCAACTTTATGCCCTGACGTTAGAGCCTTTCCTGAATCTCATAAGGCGGAGACTCAGCGGCCTGGTGCTGAGGGAACCAAGCGTCAAGTTGGTCCTGACGGCATACGCCGACGACGTCCTCCTCATCCTGCGCTCCCTGGCTGATGTCGCCCTGCTGCATGAGTGCCAGGAGGTCTTTTCGAAAGCCTCCTCATCAAAAATGAACTGGCAAAAGTGCAGCGGCCTGCTGGTTGGAGCGTGGGACATGACCGAGTGTCCCGAGAAGGCAAAAGCCATCAATTGGAGCACAACATCGCTGCTGCACCACCTGGGGGTGTTCCTCAGACCAGAGGAGGAACCACCGCAGAGGAACTGGGTCGAGCTGGAGGAGAAGGTGAAGGAGCGGCTGGCCACCTGGAGTCGCCTGTGCAAGTTCCTCACCTTCAGGACAAAGACGTTGGTGGTGAACCAGCTAGTGACGTCCATGCTGTGGCACCGACTCTTCTCCCTGCACCCCCCATGAGCCTCGTCAACGCACTTCAGAAGCGAGTCCTCGACTTCTTCTGGTCGGGTGGAGGACATCGGGTCGCGGCTGGGGTCCTGGCCCTGCCACTGGACGAGGGCGGTCACGGGCTGGTGTGCGTGCGGAGTCAGCTGGTCACCTTCCGACTGCAGGCAGCGCAAAAGTTCCTGCACGCCGCCCCTGCACAGGCCTGGAGCGTCACGGCCTCCTTCCTCCTGAAACAGCTGGGGGGTCTGCAGTGCTCCAAGCAACTATTCTACATGGACCTGCAGGGCCTCCCACTGGGACAGCTGCCACCCTTTTACAGAAGCGTCCTGCAGACATGGAGCTCCCTCGCCGTCAGGAGGCTGAACCAACCGCGATCGGCCGAGGATCTGGTCTTCGAACCGATCCTCAGGAACCCACAGACAAAGCTGCCATCCACCACCACCACCCCTGGCATGGAGAGGCGCCTCGCCAACGCGAGGCTCACCAGGATGGAAGATCTGGTGGAGCCTGAAACACGGGGCCGGTGGCTCGGACCGGCAGACGTGGCCACAAAGACAGGGCTGCAGTCGCTCCGGGTGGCTGCCCGGATCCTGGCCGAAGCCAAGGGGGCCTTCTCAGCGGCAGCGGGGAGAACGCCCCCCATCGGCGTTGGGGATGACGAGGCCCCTATCGATCTCCCTCCACCGGAGCTCTCAGTCGTGCCACTGCATCGCCAATGCCGACAAACGAAGGCGGATCACAACCTGTGCCGGCTAGAAGACCTACCGGAGGTGGCCTTCGCAAATGTAAAGAGGAAGGTGCTCTACTCCTACATGGTCCGGTTCCACCAACAGGACACCCTGAGGAGCCACAAGGACCATGCCTAGAGGAAAGCCCTGCCCTGCGTCTCTCCGGAGAGGCCTCGCTGGAGGCAACTCTACTGCAGACTGACGTACAACCGCATCGGCGACCTCAGCTGGAGCATCGCCCACGGCACCGTCACCACCAACGTCTCCCTGGCGCGCTTCACCGACGCGCCCCCGGAGTGCCGGTTCTGCGGTAAAGTGGAGACGGTGGCGCACCAATACGTGGAGTGCAAGAGCCTGGACTCGCTGTTCAAGGTCCTGAGAAACATCCTCCTAAGGTTCAGCCTCCACTTCTCCCCGACGGTCCTCATCTTTGGATACCCGAAGGGCGACGGACCCCAACATCTTCAGGGGCTGATCCACGTGCTCTTCGGCTACGCCAAGCTCGCCATATACAGGGCGAGGAAGGTGGCCCTGGAGGGGCAACGTCCGGCCAGCAGCCTGGGCATCTTCCGCGCTCTGGTCGGAGCCAGGGTGTGGCCGGAGTTCCGCCACGCGCGGCTGACCCACGCCGTGCCGGCCTTCAAGGAGCAGTGGGCGCTGGAGGAGGCCGTGTACTCGTTGGCAGATGACGGAGAGCTCTGCATGCAGATCTAAGCTACCCGTCGGAGGCCGTTTGACTGTGGGAAGGGCAGCGTGCAGATGCAGCACTTGTCGTAGTTATAAAGAAAAAGGAGAGAGCGAGAGAGAGCCAAATGGAGTAGGTAGAGAGGGGGCAGAGAGAGAGGGGGGGCGGAGAGGGGGTAGAGAGAGAGAGGAGAGGCAGAGAGGGGGGTAGAGAGAGAGGGGGGGGCAGAGAGGGGGGTAGAGAGAGAAGGAAGGGGAAAGAAAAAGAAAACATTTTTGTATGGGTCTTTCATTTAAAAGGGGGGGGGGGGGTTACATAAAGCAAAGCATTTAAAAAAAAAACCGAAATGATGAACGGAGCAAAGTGCCGACTGCACCGAGCATCTTCTTGTTTCTTCTGATCGTAAAAAAGAGAGAGAGAGCGATAGTGAATGAGAGAGAGAGAGCGATAGTGAATGAGAGAGAGCGATAGTGAATGAGAGAGAGCGAGGGAGAGTGAATGAGAGAGAGAGAGAGCGAGAGAGAGCGAAATGGAGTAGGAAGAGAGGGGGATAGAGAGAGAGGAGGGGCAGAGAGGGGGCAGAGAGAGAGGGGGGTAGAGAGGGGGGTAGAGAGAGAGAGGGGGGTAGAGAGGGGGGTAGAGAGAGAGAGGGGGGTAGAGAGAGAGGGGGTAGAGAGAGAGGGGGTAGAGAGAGAGGGGGTAGAGAGGAGGGGTAGAGAGAGAGGGGTAGAGAGAGAGGGGGGCAGAGAGAGAGAGGGGTAGAGAGGGGGTAGAGAGAGCGGGGGTAGAGAGAGAGGGGGTAGAGAGAGAGGGGGTAGAGAGAGAGGGGGTAGAGAGAGAGGGGGTAGAGAGAGGGGGGCAGAAAGGGGGGTAGAGAGAGAGGGGGTAGAGAGGAGGGGTAGAGAGAGAGGGGGTAGAGAGGGAGGTAGAGAGAGAGGGGGTAGAGAGAAAGGGGTAGAGAGAGAGGGGATAGAGAGAGGGGGTAGAGAGATAGGGGGTAGAGAGAGAGGGGGGTAGAGAGAGAGGGGGGTAGAGAGAGAGAGGTAGAGAGAGAGGGGGTAGAGAGAGAGGGGGATAGAGAGAGAGGGGGGTAGAGAGAGAGAGAGGGGGGTAGAGAGAGGGGGGGTAGAGAGAGAGGGGGTAGAGAGAGAGGAGGGGTAGAGAGGGGGTAGAGAGAGAGGGGGTAGAGAGAGAGGGGGTAGAGAGAGAGGGGGTAGAGAGAGAGGGGGGTAGAGAGCAGAAAATAAATACATATATATTTTGTTGGGTCTTTCATTTAAAAGGAGGGGGGGCAGTTTACATAAAGCCAAAAAATAACAAAAACAAATAAACGAAATGATGAACGGAGCAAAGTGCCGACTACACCGAGCATCTTCTTGTTTCCTCTGATCGTAAATACAAGGAGAGCGAGGGAGCGAGTGAATGAGGGACTGAGGGAGCGATGGAGCGAGTGAACGAGTGAGCGAGTGAACGAGGGAGCGAGGGAGTGAGTGAACGAGTGAGCGAATGAGCAAGGGAGCGAGTGAGCAGACAAGCGAGCGAGGGAATGAGGGAACGA